TGTACCTCACGGTTACTGGAAAGTGGAAATACACTATGTGTAGTGTGTACTATAACGTGGTATCGTGGTAACTGCACGAAACCGGAAACACTATAAAGTTGTATCGTTATTATTTTATTAATATATTATAAAATATAAGTTATGAAGCGTCTGTGTGATAATATTTAGGTGGTGGTGGTCGAGCATATATACTTGCCTCATGAAATAAAATAGTTCACGCCGCCACTGGTACAGATAATAATATGTGGCATGTGCGTGAAGTGTATGAAAATCAGAAAATCAACATAATATTTATTATTATGCTGCCGTTTAGTCACTAGACAAGTGTACACCTACCCGTGCCAGTGCAGTGGTCGTAATAACCGAGATTGTCCCAAGTGAAAGGTTTGAATATGGGTAATGGGTATATATACACTATATACTGTCTACATGTTTTAATAATGACGAAACGATTATGTATATACAGGCACACTGTTTTTAGTTGTATAACAATGTAGTATAATATTATATTATACCTAATACCTATAAGAATATATTAAGTAATTGGAAAAATCGGCCGGGTAGACAAACTGGGTCATCACTCGTCGAATTCACTTGTGTTCATACACATATCACATATTTAGGTACTTATATAATATACAGGGTGATTCATTAATCAAACAACACTCATTATTTAAAAAAGCATTGACTTTTTTCAAAATATTTTTTTACATAGTTTCAAGTTGTTCAAAAACCAACGTTTTTATTAAAAAATTACATTTTTAAATATTTTTTAAGTTTTTTACTTTTTTGAATGACAACAGTTTTAATTTCATATTCCAAAGCAGAATATTTTTCTAAGTATTTTGATTCATAAAAATCGAATTTAGGAGGAGTAGTTTATGAGTTATAAGTATTTAAAGTTTAGACAAGCAGAATAATGGACAAACATTTTGCGGGGTAACCCCCGTACCACTCCACTCTGCCAATCTAAACTTTAAATACTTAAAACTCATAAACTACTAGCCCTAAATTCGATTTTTATGAATCAAAATACTTAGAAAAATATTCTGCTTTGGAATATGAAATTAAAACTCTATGTTGTCATTCAAAAAAGTAAAAAACTTAAAAAATATTTAAAAATATAATTTTTTAATATAAACGGTGGGTTTTTAACAACTTGAAACCATGTCAAAAAATATTTTGAGAAAAGTAAATATTTTTTTTAAATAATGAGTATTATTTGATAAATCAATCACACTGTATAATATTATTATTATTATATCAACATATTTAGTGACGATATATAATTAATATTTTAATATGTTTTATAATGAATCTGCAATACTTATACCGCATCTATACATATATCGGCTATATTATAATATAGCTGATATAATGTAATATGATAATATAATATAATACTATACCTACCTAAAGCACCATCGAACATTTCCCCGAGAGAGGGGTCCATCGTAAATATTTTTGTTTAAGAATGTCAGCGCACTATATTTATTTTTTCTCTCTGGCCCACGCTCAACGTAGCCAAAACGCATTTACGCAGAATCATTTTTTTTATGCTTTTATTATAGTAGTCTTAAAGTAAAATCACCCATTACAAAGAAGACGAAGAACAATATTTTTGAGGGAATGATATATCGATATTATAGGTATTTTGTTATTGATTGATTTTGTATTCGACTTTCAAAATAAACAAAAAAATGTTGTAAATATTTAAATTATGTTTAAATAGTTTTGAGATAATATTTAGACGAATCGATATGTCATCATTCCATCAAAAATAATATTCTATATCTTTTTTGTAATTGGCGATTTTACTAAACTTAAATACATAGAAAAATGATTCTGCGTAAATGCGTTTTGTTTATGTCGAGCGTGGGCTAAAGAGAAAAAACAAAAAGTGCACTGGCATTCTCTTAACAGGTAGAGATATTAAAATACGAATAATATTTAAATAAGTACCAAACAAAAATGTATTTATTATTTAGTAGCTAGGTACCGAATATTCCAAATGTCTACTTAATATAATATTATAGTTGATATTAAAAATTAGATACCTATTATTAAATATGATAGTATACCTATACACTCAACACACGAACGACAGATATCCATCCCAACCAGCTTCTACCACACTAGCAATATGCCTAGCTATATTTGAAGCATTGCATAACAGTTGCAATAGTGCAATACATATATATGTTATGTAGAAACGGTTTGCATAAGTATATATAACCTACTTGGCTACCAAGTGGCTAGTAACTATAGTATAAATTAGTTACACGACTATTACATAATATTATAACATATTAATATTGACCGTAATATTATATACATACCTATTAATTATTATTTGCATAATGCATTCACTAAATCTGTACATGTCATATGATATATGCCAGCGCCCATGGGCGCCATTAGGGGGGCTTGGGCCGACTAGCCACTTTAGTTTTATACTTTTGCCCATAGCCCTCCATGCAAGTTTTTTTACACATATTTGAATTTTAAATATTATTTATCAGGGTTTGTACCGATAATACAATGTTATACGCAGAACTTGCTAAAAAGCTAGAGGTTAAGAGAGAGCGAAGAAGACGAAATCAATTGTTTAAGGATAGAAGTTTGTTACGAAGATGAAGAGACCTGGTAAGAGGTTGATCTATAATAATGCCTATAGATGCTCTGCGCGGTTGGCATGATTTACTCATTTAAAGCAATATGTTAGGGCATATTCCCTTCCCAAGAGTGTAGATAGGTACAGTGTACAGATTTAGATTCGTTTATTCTCACACCCCACTCCTTATACCACTTATCGGGGAGGGATAGATGTTCTCGGATGTGAGAGGAAGCAACAGTTGGATCGTGACTATTGGCTATAGGTATAATAGTAAATCGACGGGAGTTTGTAATTTGCACCAAAATAAGGGTATGTAATTTGCACYACCATCAGGTAGTCAAAAATAGAATTTGTAATTTGCACTAAAATGATTATTTATTTATTCGATTTTGCCTCGGTATCTTCGTAGACGTCAAGACTAGATTGATACGAATGACAATAATAATTTTAATAATAATAATAATACGATTTTATAACATATAATTTTTTTAATTGGCCAACTTTTTTTTATATTCATAATTATACAATTTTATATAAACTTAGTACCTACTTACATCAATATGTGTATAAGCTCAGCTATTTTATAAATAAAAACTAAGCTAAATTTATATTAGGATATAAAAACTTATAAGTTTGTACTAGGTATCAAAATAATATCGAAAAAATAATCGATTTTAATTTTGGTACAAATTACAATTCCTATTTCTTACTACCTGAATATGGTGAAAATT